TGTTGCCCAGGCTAGAGTGAGTGCCCTGGCATCAGCCTAACTCACAGCAACCTCAAACTCCTGGGCTCAAGCAATCCTGCTGCCTCAGCCTCCCGAGTATCTTGGGACTACAGACACATGCCACGATGCCTGGCTAATTTTTCTATTTTTACTAGAGACAGGGTCTCACTCTTGCTCAGGCTGGTCTCAAACTCCTGACCTCAAGCGATCCTCCCACCTTGGCCTCTCAGAGTGCTAGGATTACAGCTGTGAGCCACTGTACCCAGCCTGTACTTGGTTTTTGATCTCATGGCTTCATTTATTTATTCACTCAGCAAACATTTATCTAACAATTCTTCTATGTCAAGTATTATTCTAGGAGAAACTGGAGCTGAGAGATAAATAAAATACATTCTTGGCCTCAAGGAAGCCACAAATTAGTAGGAAAGCCAAAAAGGAAAGCCAGGGACCCTGGTCAGTGAAGGTGAGAACTATGGGGTAGGCATGGACAGGACTGTGGGAGGGAAGGGAGGGCAGAGGATGGCTGGGAGGACCCACGGGGGAGCTGTTGCTCATGGGAGGCATGAAGGGTAAGGGGCAGACTGCTGAGGCAAGGCCTGGGGTGTAAATGGTAAGAGAGGGGATGGGGAGAGAGAAGGATCCAGGATGCAGGGTCTGGGCTGAGGTGGAAATATCAGGGGTTCGGTCCCCTTCAGCCCAGGACACCAAGTCTGGCTCTTGGGCTCTTTGGAGTCCAGTCTGGAGACCAGGCATCAGCATTCCCAGACACCTGTTCTCAGTTCACTGCTTTGCTGCCACGGGGATATTCTAGTTTTCTGAGCTTGGCCTCTGTTTCCCTCCTGGGACACTGGGCCTTCTTCCTGGCTCCCAGCTTCAGGAGTAGCACTGACAGAGATCAGCAGAGGGACCCTGCAGCCTATGTCCTCCATCCTACCCCCACTTTCTCAGGGGTTAGAGTGGCAGGTGTCAGCATGGCCATGGGCCCCCTGTGTCCCCTCCCCCGCTGTGTTCCCTATAATTTTATATTGAGACCTGTGGTCATGACGTGGGTTTTACTGCACTAACGACATGGCCTGCCCAGGTTTAATGACAAAATCCATACTCTGGCCCTGGGCCTGCTCCTCGTTTGCATAATTCCCAGAATACAGCTCCCTGAAGCTTTTGACCTGGGCCATTACAGTGGCCATAAAATGGGCCATAAAACTGCTGGGGATGGCCAAGAGGAGGGGTCTGTGGTCTTGCTGGGGTGGAAACGAAGCCCTCAACCCCTACTCTTCCCATGCTTGGGAGGAGGCATCCTCTGGCTCTTCCCTTCCATGGTTCCCAGAATCTGGGAGTCCATCTCTGGCTGATGAGGCCCCTGGAAATCCTCTGCCCGGGTGCCTATCTGAGGCAGGAATCTCGCTCTAGTACAGCTGGCAGCATTGGGTAGGCAGCCCGAGCCCACTGGAGGCAGGCAGTCAGAAGCATCCTCTCCTTGAGCATTCCTCTCTCCCGCCCAGGACACCCCCAGTCCCCAGTAGCTGACCAAGCCGTTTGCCACAGGTGGGCCTCGGTCAGGCAGGCCCAGGTTGCATCCTGTCCCTCTTCAGCAGGTCCAGCTCCCTCGGGAGGTCAGGAGCCAGGCTGAGCAGCATAGTGGGGAGATGCGGAAGCACGCAGGGACCCGGACAGGGACTGGGACAGGCTGTCAGTGCTAAAGATGATGAATGGGGGAGGTGAGGCGGGAGGCCCAGTGTTATCGGCAGCGGATGGCGGGTGCGGGCGATCGCCGTTCCTGCTAATCCCCGGGCGCTGCCTCAGCCCTTGCACTGATAACGAGGAAATGGGACTGACAACAATTTTTAGCTGAGAGATTCTTCACCAAAATGCCAGGCGGCCGGAGGTCTGACAGCGCCTGATTGAGTGTGTGAGTGCGTGGGGGGAACGCCCGCAGCCCCCTCTCCTCCCATGCAAAGATGGATCGCTCATTCTGCCTCCCGTCCACATTCATTACCGCGCCGCCCACCCTGCCACCCCAGCACGGCAGTGCCTGCCACCTCCACTTCTGCCTGCTGCAGGTATCCCCCAAGCAGGAGGAGGGCAGGGAGGGGAGGGCGCTTGACCCTGTCCTCAGTCTTAACGCAGGGCAACTCCTGCTCAAAGGTGACTCTGCAGAGGCAGGGACTGAGGATCAGGGCATCTGGGTCCTAGCCTGGAGGCTCCCTAGTTATGTGACCTCCAGAGGGTCCCTTTCTCTTGCTGAGCTGCTAGAATACCTTCCCCAACTGACAACAGCTAGGCTCCAACAGAAGTGAAGAAGGATAGGTCTGATGAGTAGATAGCAGAGGTCAAGGCAAGGCAGTCCTCACCCTAGCCTGGGCCAGGATCCAGCCAGTGCAGCCCTCAAGCCTTGGAGCAAGGCCTTGGGTACCTGGGCCCTAGATCAGCCCTCTGCTGCCCCCCTCTGTTGGGAATCACTGACCGTTGGGAACAGGCCACTCAAGGCCAGGGAGGGCTGCTCCTTCTTTGGTGTCTTCCATAGTGAAGGCTGGTGCAGAACTGGACATATGGAGGGTCTCATGCAAAGGGAAAGCCATCCCCTCCTTGGTCACTAACTCACACCTGGCCTTGCAGCTTCCCACCACATGATTGCCTCTCTGGCTTGGCCTGGTGGCCTAGGTTCCATTCTTGCCTCTCTGCTTGTCCAAGCAGCAAATACCACCGTATCTTTTCTCTACAGACCACAGAAGAGATGCCTGGTACCTAACTAGGGATGAGGTGGGTGGTTAAACTGAGGGTGAGGATGACTCTAATGACAACGGCAACAGAGGCTGGGACTTTAAAGAGTATTTGGGTGTATGTGTGTGTGTTTGTGTGTGTGTTTGTGTGTACATATGTATATCCCACCTCCACCCTCTCAATGGAAGCACTTCCATTTTCTAGTGACCAAAACACAGAATAGATCTTCAAGCAGAATTCAGTGGAGTTGCCTCTTACTAGCTGTGTGACCTTCAGCAAATCATTTAACACTTCTGAGCTTCATTTCTCCTGTGTGAATGAGAATAACAATATCTAGCTCCCAGGACTTTTATGAATCAGGGATGTGTACAAGTGAGGAGTCCTTATGGTTTCTAGCAGTTTGTTGTCTGTGCCTACATCTACCCCATCCTGACACCAGTCTCACTCTGAGCTGTTTCTGGCCTTCTTCCCTGCTGGGGCCAAGATCTTTTACCACTCAGGTACCCTGAGTACCTGGAGCACATGGAGTTTCTTCTTCCTATCAATTCATACCCATTTGTCTATTTATTGGTTTGTATGTCAACATATCCATCTATCTATCCATCCATTTATCCATTATCTGTTGATAACAACAACTGTCTATCGAGTATCATTATATATTAGGCTGCAGGTTACTACTGCACATATTTTACGTCATTTGATCCTTCCAACAGTGCTGTGAGGTAGGCGTTATTATCTCCACCACACTGATGAGGAAAGTGGGGCTCAAAACAATGCAGGGACAGAGCTACGAGTTCAGAGCAGGGATTTAAATTCAGGTCTGTCTGACTCCAAACCTGAACAATATCCAACTACCTACCTACCTATCACTCACCTAGCTGATGAATCAATACTATTCCACAGATGTCTATGGGATACCTGCTGTGGGTTTGCCAGACAACAATGAGCATGACAGACGCAATCTCTGCCCTCAGGAGCTTAGGACCTAACGATGGATAGAAACATTAAACAATTGTCCCCAGAATGGTCTTAGGAAAAGAAAAGTACATGGAACTATGGGAGTATATCATCTGGTGTGGAAGGTGAAGGAAGTGACATTTAAGCAAAGGTCTGAAGGATGAGTGGGAACTAGTCATCCAATGATTGGAGGAAGTGGTGTTCTAGGTAGATAATAGCATGTTTGGAGGTACAGGGGGGAGACAGTCTAAGTGAGGAACTAAAAAAAGTCCAGTGTGGCTGGAACAGAGAGAGTGAGGGACAGAGTGTTGAGATTTGATGAGAGAGAGGTCACATTCTGTAGGACTTTTTAACTACCCTTAATGATTTGGTTATTATTTTTAACATACAATGAAAAGCCATCAGAGAGTTTTAAGCCAGGGAATGACATATCAGACTTACATTTTAAAAAGATCATTCTAACTACAAAGTAGTGAATGGTCTAAGAGGACAAGAGCAAATGCAGGAATACTGTTCAGGAGGTCAACTCACTAACTCAGGGAGAGACAGTGGTGACGTGCTCTAGCACGATGATGATGAGAGTGAACAGAAGCAGATGGATTGGACATGGGAGTTAAAAAACAGAAAGGAGTTAAGGATGACTCTAAGGGTTCTGGTTTGAGCACCTGCTGGTGGTAGCCTATGGGCAGGAGGAGGAGCTGCAGGTTGGTAAGGAAGAAAATGAGTTCAGTTTGGAAGTATAATACTTAGTTGGAGGAACTCTTAAAGACAATCCATGTGAAAATGCTGAGTAGGTACTATGCATGAGCCAGAGCTAGAATTACAGACCTGGGAGACATTGACATATATAGGTAAGAATGGAAGTTCACCACTGGATCCTCTGTGCCTAGGACAATGTCTGACATATGGTATATAATAACTATTTATTGAATGAATAAATAAATGAGTAAAGTTCAGAGTAGGTGAGATCACCTAGGGAGAACATATATGCTAAGAAAAGTCTGGAATAGACCCTTGATTAACTCTAACAGGTAGAGGAAGTTTAAGTCATCAAAAACTAAGAAGGAACAGCCAAGAGGTAGTATGAAAACAAGGAAAGTGTGATGTCATTGAAGTCAAGAAAGGAAGAGTTTCAAGGAGGGAGGGAGTGCCATCAGAAGGGTCAAATGCCGCAGAGAGGTCAAGAACATAAGGCATGAAAAGTGTCCCGTCCACTCATTTTATCCATAGTACAACTGTCTGGCCTCCGCTTCATCCATCCATCATCCATCCAAACCACCTCATCTACTCTCCCCTCTCACTCTCTTCCTCATTCTCTTCAGAAACCCATGATTGGCGCCTCTGCTGAGTGTGGGACAGGAAGAGTTAACATGCTGACAGACGGCATTTTTTACCTTCAGTCAATATGAACAAGGCCCCAAGACTATGATTCCAAACATCTGGATTTCATCAATATGTGATCTGTCATCGTATATTGGCATTCCCCAGTCCCCGCGCCAGAGCAATGCGGCTGGTTTTATTAATACGTCAAATACATTATCCGTGTAATACACTTGTCTGGCTGGGGCCTCCCGCTGGGGCGGGGCGGCGGATTTGAATGTATGATGAATCAGTTTGCATTACATGTTCGTAAGTCATCATTTGTCAGGATTAATAGGCATCCCTGGTCGAGGAGGTGGGGGTAGGGCGGGCAGGGGAGAGCCGTGTATTTAGCTGTGGCCCACACTTATCTGCGGGTGCCCAGGGATGCCCTGAAAACAGCTGTGTACCCTCTTGCCCAGACCCCAGGGTAATGGCTGGTGCTCAAGGAGCAGAGGTGACATTTTCAGCAGTTCCAGAGTCACTTGGAACCCAAGAGGCCTATTTGTCTCTGCTTTGGGCTTGTCAAACAACCAAAAAGGATACGGCAGGGGCCAGTGGCACAAGCTGGCTAACTCTTAGCATCCTTTAGGACTCAACCTAGGACTCCTTCATCCAGGCAGCCTCCCCTGACTCCCCCAGACTGTCTTAGGGGCCTCCTCTGTGTTCCCACAGCCTCTTGTGCTACTTCTGTCACAGCACTTGTCACACAGAATTGTTGTTGCCTGTTATGTGTCTATCATCCTCTTTAGATTATACATTTCTTGAGGGCAAAAATTAACTTGTTCACTGCTATAGCCCCAGCATCTAGCAGAAGCCATAGCCCAAAGTAAGAGAATAGTCATAGTAATAGTAGAAATCAATACATATTCCTTGAATTAATAAATAAATGATCATTGACCTAAATCCTCAAAGATGCAGACATCAGCTGGGAGATACCATGGGGTTTTTCTCTGACTCCTTGCCCCACTTTGACCCTGGTCTAGTCTGGTCTCCTATCCTACAATATGTGCTCTTCTTACCTGCTCCTCTTCTTTCCATAAGACATGTATAGGCCCCTCACCCAGCATCAGGTTCCTTACATGTGACACACATACACTGGTGGGACACAGTCATGCCCACATGCTCTTGCCATCTCCCCTTCTCCCTCCACTCTGCCTGCAGAAGCTCTGATTGGCATGACCCCTTCCACACAGCCTCTTGCCAGCTCTAGGCACAAGAGCCTGGCTGGTGCCCTGACCCCTACTGAGATGGACACTATTTACTGTCTCCAGCAATAGAGAGCAACTGAATTAGGCCAGACAAGGCTCCTGGGTGGCCAATGGCAAACATCTGCAGGACAGCCAAGTGGGGTCAGCCTGTGGACAGGTGTAGGCTCATACTGGGCCTTGAGCTGGACCCAAAGGTTCCAGGCCAAGGCATAAGCAAGCTCATTGAGTCTTGGTCATGGAACTCAAACCATTGGCCCCATAAGCCTTTCTTCTAGGCAAGTGCACCAGCCAACCTGTTCAGAGACTGGTGGGGCTTCAGGGGCTGCAGCTATTTCACATCCCTGACCTTGGCTATTCTAAACATAACTGTAGCCTCTCTCCTCTTGTAGAGCTACAGTTCAGCTCCCCTCCTCCTTTAGCTAATAACTTCCAGACAGCTCCCTGAGCTGGGCTGGACTAGTGGTGGGTGGGGCAGGTGGGGCCTCCCAGAGTTCCCTGGGATTAGGCTTCCCAAACTGCATAAAGGGCCTGATTCAGGCAAACATCCACATATGGACATGCACACAGATCCTTTTGGGTGTCTGGACACACACACATGTGCTGGCATTGACACATACAGGTGCTCACACAGTGTGGGTATTTTTTCCTATCTAGACAGACACACCTGAGCACCCATGCATTATTCAGCTGTAGACTGAGTATACCTGTTAGTCTTCCCAGCTCACCCACACACTTCCCTCTCTCCCGGTGCCCTCCTGGCCATGGAGCCAAAATGCTGAGACTGTGCTGTTTAAAGCAAAGTAACTTCAAGTGCGCTTTACCCCCTGCTGGCTCTGACTATGGGCTTATAAAAATGAAGTGGGAACCTCCACAGCTGTGGGCAATAAATCCTGAACTGCTGAGGGGGGCAGTGTTACCTGCTTTCGAGGCTGATGGGTGGATGGTGGGGCACTGATTACAAGTGTCTGCAGAGCTGGACGGGCAGTGGGCCAGATGCCTGGCCCCCGGCACTGCCTGCTAGCTTGTCCCAGGCCAGCTGCTTCCTATAGACCTGCAGAGTCAAGAGACCCAGAGCCCTAGGGAGGGAACGGGGACCAGGAGAGCAACAGAGGGAGGTAGAGGAAGAGAAGGGCTGGGCTGGGGAGAGTGAGCAGACAGCCACGTGCTGCTAAGGCTGAGGGGAGCCCTCGCATCTGGAGATCAATTAGCATCAATTACTGACTTCATTTAATTGTCGTCCAAGATGAATTTGTCATTTTTAGCTGGGAATTAATGGGAGACCTTCACCTCTCCCTGGCAGCAGCAGCGGAGCCAACAACGGTCACCTCAGCCTCCTAGGAGCTCTGAATCCTGCTTGGGCCTGGGGCCAGGCGGGGGCAGGCAGCTAGTGGGGCTTCTGTTCCCTGGGCAAGCTCTGGCCTGGCCGGCTGTAGCCCAGGGCCAAGGTGGGGGCTGTGGGTCCTGGGTAGCAGTCCTTTGCAGCCTCTGTCTTCAGCCAGAAATTAATTTGCTGGGCTGAGCATGTTTACCTTTTCCCAGCAAAGGCGAGACAGTAAACAGCGGACCGGTGGCTGAAATTGAATTGATAACTGCATCAACGTGCCAGATAACGCCTAAAATAATATGCCGATAAGGAAATTCGATTTGATTTGCTGCTGTGCATCAGATTGGCCCCATCTGTAGCTGCCTGTAATCATTTTCAATTGCGTTGGGAAACCTTATTTGTCCTTAAATATTTCTGTCATTTTTCATTGCTGGCGACAGATCCTTGGGCAGGTGGCAGGGGTGCGCTGCCTCTGTGGGCGCAGGGCGGCGGCCCGAGGAGGAGGGGTGATGTGGACTCGGAGGAAGGAGGCAGGGAGCAGGCAGCCGGGCGGTGACAGCTGTTCCTCCAATCAATCACGCTGTCGACAGGGAGGGACGACTGGCTGGCAGAAATTGAGTTTGCCTCACAGGGGACGATTGAGCAAATTAATAGCCCATTAGCCAAGCAGTGACCTGAGAAATGAAGGTGCAGGGGTTCCTGCTCACTCAGGCCGGCTGGGGTGGGGCAGGGCCGAGGAAGGGTCTGGGGAGGGGAGAGTTCAGGAGGGGTGTGGGAAGAGGAGGGATGGATGCGTGGATGCAATGGGGAATACGAGTGTGCAGGAGGACAGACATCCAGTTGGAGGAGGAAGGCTGGAGATGCACACAGTCCCAGGAGAGATGTGGAGGTGGCTCTGGCAGATGTCTCTCTGCCACCTTCCCACCATGCCCTCTGGGACCGAGTACTATGCCCATACTCTCTCCACCCCTCGACGTCTTCACTTTCGGGAAAGCCGGCATATCCCCTGGAGACACCACTTCCTGCGTCCTCTCGAGGGCAGGCAGTTTATTCTCCAGACTCCATGCTCCTCACTGGGGTCAGTGTCTTCCAGTCCATTGAGTCTTCACCCTACAGTTCTTTGAGGTCAAGTACCATGCAGCATCCCATCTTGTCACTGTTATCTACCGTCTCCATTCTCTCGCCAAGCCCCTGACCTCCTCAGCTCTGATTATTTTTCCTGTACTCACTTCCTCCTGGAGGACCTTGTCAATAACCTAAATTGCTGTGTGATAGAACTTCCTCCCTCCCAAGGCCTCAAGGCCTTGTACCCATTAAACTTGCTCCTTCCTCTAGCCTCCTCCCAACTCCTGAGCCACTGCGCACCCGTGGACGCTGGCCTGGACCCCACCGTGCATCATCTCAAACCCTCTGGCCAACACACTCAACCTCTTAACTTCCTTTGCCTTCTCTGCAACCCAGCTATTCCCCTTTTTGTCTCAGACACACAGGCGGCTATGCACAGCTGGGGAAAATCACAAAACCACGCAGATATGTGCCAATAAAAATTCACAGTTTCCAATCTTAGCACTACTAAGCAATCTCTGGCTCCCTTTGCCCACAGAGACAATTCAATATTTTACTATCTGAGCCCCCTCCCCGTCTTCTGCCCCCCCCCACAGGTGGCCTTGCTTCCTCCTTCATTCAGAAATTTAGTCCTTGGGCGTGAGTTTGCTTAACCTCTAGATCCACACTCACCTCCCTTCTCCCTCCAGTATCAGTGGAAGAGATTCGTCTTCCTGCTTCAGCTTACTCACTTCTCCGGGGCTTAGGATCTCATTCCTGCCTCTGTTCCCCAGGAAACTGACGGGTTCCCCCTCCACTGCCACCTCGCCTGCCTTCCTCACTCGTCTCCACATCAGCATGTAAACTCCCGAGTATCTCCAATATTGCAGCAGCATCAATGACCTTCTCTCTCTTCCCTGTGGCACCTCGAGCTACTGCCCTCCCTTCTCCTTTCCTTCTCACCTAAGACGCCCTGAAGACTCTTACTTGCTGTCCATTCTGCTGTATCTCCTAACCACTTCTTAACCTGCTGCAGTCTGAGTTTCATCCCCATCATTCTAAGGAAACTATTCTCAACCAAGTCACTGATCACCAGTTGCCAAATACAATGGATACTCCAGTTATATTCATTTATTAATTCAATATATATTTGTTGCGTGTCTTTCATGTCTAGGTACTACATATACCAGGGTCTAGGGATACAATGCGATCCATGTCCTCATGGAGCTCACAGTCAAGAGAGGGAACTGATACAATAAAATACTCAGACGAACAACTGTAAAATTGCAGTTGTGCCAAAGAGAGGTCAACAGTGCTATTGAAGCCCACACTATGGAGATTTGCCTTGCTCAGAGAAACCCAGACAGGCTTCCCTGAGGAAGAGACACAAGCTGAGATGTGAGGGATGAGTAGCTGCTGAAGAGCCGAGGAGGAAGGGAAGTGGTAATACTGATCAAATGCTTACTCTGTGCCAAGACTGTACCATTTTATTCCCCTTTATAAGTGAGGAAACAGAGGCATAGAGAAGTTCGTAAGTTGCCCGCAGTTACAAGGTACATGGTTGTGTTGGACATTCAACCCAGGCCATGTGATACCAGAGCCCATGCATGCTCCTAACCACTCTAGGCTGCCACCTCTGATATTAGCTATTGCCCTTGTCATCATTCACTCCTCCCTCCGCACACTCCATGCGTGTCGCCACTCT